AGTCACCTGCCCACCTGTAGCAACAGTGCCCACTGGCTAAAGATGAGGGGGCCGCTGAGCAGGGTAGCAATGAGGCTGTGCAGAGGGATGCTGAGAGAGGGATGTCCTGATTTATGTAGCTCCTGCATCACCTTTCAGTTGCAGACAACAGAAAGCATGCCGAGCTGGCTTCCTGGGGATATATGGGCTTTTGTAAATGAAATGTCAGTGGCCATAGGGCTTCAAGTGCACTTTGATCAAGGCTTTAGTTCACATGGTTTCTCTTGGCTGTGCTGGAACATTATATTTACCCTCAGGCCAGGTTCTCTCATGGTGACAAAATAGGTGTTGTGGTTCCAGGCATCATATCTGTATTCTACTTGTGAATATGGGAAGAGGGACTGGCTTCCTCAATGCAGAACTAGAGTTTCCAGTTTTGGCTCATTGCTGAAGCAATCCGGGGCTAAGTGTGCATCACAGTTCACTGGCATAGGCCTTGCTGGGGTGCTTGGATCACAGGACACGTGCCATGTATTGCTGGAGGGCTGGGGTGGGGTCATCCCTGCCCCCTCCACTCAGTAAACTGCTTGTTCCTCCAGCCATGTGAGCCAAGTTGACAGATTAGGGCCCTCCTCGCACGGTGGTGGTGAGGATGGGCGAGGAAATGAGACAGGAAGCAGGGGCTTTATTTGCTGTCATTATTATAACAACTAACCAAGGATGACCAAGGTAACAAGTGTTATCGTTATTCTACCCTGACTCTGACAGTGAGAGGGCAGCACGTCCCTGGACTAAGGGTTGCGCTTCTGGCCCTGGCGAGGCTGGGGGTCTCCCCTAGCTCCCTGCTGTCACCCTCTGCCTCACTGGAGGTGCCTGTCCCAGGAAGATGCCTGCCTGCACTGCCTCTAGCCAGGGCCTCCATAAGGCTCTCCTGGGGTCCGCACGCCGCCCTGCTGACACCCCCTTCGCAGGGGCATCTCTGGGCCAGCAAGAGCTCCTGGTGTCTGTGTGAAAGTGCCTCTGGGATGTTTCTCAGACCTTGGGGGGATGCCTGGCCTTGTGGACCTCTTGGGGAGCACGTGTTCTGTGGAGCTTCCCCGGCTCATTGTCCAGTGTGGACTCTCAGGCAGTGGCCATGAGCCGTCCCTGCCCTTCACCACCCCAGGCCACGATGTCCACCCAGCCCAGCCAGTGCTGCCTCGGACGCTGCTCAGACTGTCTGCTCACCCCACCCCCTTCTATGTCAGCATAAACTTGAGGATCAGCTTGTTGATTCCTATTTTTTTTTAAAGTGTGCTATAATTTTTATTTATTTATTTATTTATTGATAGACAGACAGACAGGATCTTGCTCTGTTGCCCAAGCTGGAATGCTGTGGTCTGATCACAGCTCACCATAGCCTCAAACTCCTGGGCCTATGCGATCCTCCTAGATCAGCCTCCCAAGTAGCTGGGACTACAGGTGTGTGCCACCACACTGGGCTAATTTAAAACATTTTTTTGTAGAAACAGGGTATCAGTGTTTCTCAGGCTGGTCTCATTTCCTGGCCTCAAGCAATCCTCCTGCCTGGCCCTCCCAGAGTGCTGGGATCAGAGGCGAGAGCCACCGTGCTCAGCCCTATATTTTTTCTTTAATCATTTGATAGTGACGCCATCTGCAGCTGTGTATTTGGGGCAATGTTTTTAAGTAAAAATTGAATTCTTTCATTACATATAGAGCTAGTTAGGTTTTCTATTTCTTTTTGAGTCAGTTTTGATAATTCATGTCTTTCAAGGACTTTTTCTATTTCATCTTAGTTGTCAAGTTTATTGGTGTAATTTGTAATGTTTCCTTCTTATCCCTCTAGGGTTTGATCTGTAGTGAAGTCCCCTCTTTCCTTCTTGACACTGGTCATTTATATGTGTTTTCCTCTCTCTCGACTTGTCTAGGTAGAGCTCTGCAAGTTTTTGATGCATTCAGGGGGTGCTTTTTGGTTGTAGTGATTGTTTCTGTTGTTGCCCTGTTTGCTATTTTATTAATTATTGCACTTAACTTTATTGTGTGCATTCTGCTTCCTTTGTGTGTCCTTTGCCAGCTTCTTTAGGTGAACGTTTAGGACATCAGTTTTCTTCTTTTTTCTCATGGAAGGATTTACAGCACTAGTTTTCTCTCAAGCTCTGTTCCAGCCGCACCCCAGCTTTTGCTTTCTCATGTTTTCCCTCCAGCGTCTGCTCGCTCATGGCAGGGGTCTGGGCCTGGGCTGCAAGGAGGCCCCGGGTCAGGACTCTCATTAGAGTAAGCAAGGCAGAGGGCGGAGACTCCCAACACCCTTTCATTCTGGCCCCTTTCCTTGCCTAGGGTGTCCCCTTCCCTCAGCCCCTCATCATCCCTCCCTGGGTTTGCTGGTTGGCAACCTCCTGTTCCCACGGAGGCCTTGGCAAGTGATCTGATGCCTGGGGGTCTGCCAGGCTGGGTAAGGAGGCCTTGTTCGCTTTGATCCTACGCAGTGATCACAGTTTATGAGGGAGACGGGTTTGAGATGCTGCCTGGAAAGGGAAACCCTGACATGCCGCAGCACAGGAAGTAGGCTGCCCTGTGCTCGGGCTGATGGCTCCAGGAAGATGTGGGAGGGGTGGGAGCACCTGCCATGGCTGGAAGAGTCAGGGGTGAGGTCAGCTCTGAGCAAGAGTGGGACGTGATCTGTCTGGGGCAGGTGCTAGAGCCTGGCCAGGCAGCAGCACTGGCATCTGTTTCTGGCTGTCAGTGGCCCAGGGCTGGGCGTCCCACCTGGTCTGTCTGGGTCGCTCTGGGCTAACAGGAGCAAAGCATCAGGGCAGTGTAGCTCAGTCAGGAAAGGCAGAGACCCATGTGATGGGAGTGCAACCAGCAAAAGGGGCGGATGCAGAGGTGAGGTAGAAGGAGCAGAGGCCCTGCCTGAGTGCCGGAAGCATCTTAGAGGGACCTTGGCTCTGAGCAGGATAAAATGTGGGATCAAAGGGGAGCTCTGAGGTGTACAGTGACATAGCCAGACCTTTCCTAAGTGGGTTGCTCCGCATTCTGTGCACAGAATGCATATGGTGCTGTGGTGAGCGGGGTGGGGACAGAGGCTGTGCAGCATCCCTGGAAAGGGAGGAGGGGACAGGAGGCTGTGCAGCCTGCCTCCCTGTTGTAAGGAAAGGAGGGAACGAGGAGGCCCTGCAGTGTCCCTGGGAGGAGAAGAGGGGATGAGAAGGTTGTACTGTGTCCCTGTAAGGAGGGGAGGGAACGATGGGGCCGTGCAGTGTCCCTGTGAAGGGAGGGACAACTGGGAGCAGCGTGGTGACAGACACATTCTGCTTCTGCATTCTTTTTGGAATGTTAAACAAACTGTTGGCAAAGGTAGTGTGCCAGTGGGCTGCAGTAAGGAATGGAGGACACATGGACAGGACGACCCACAGGCTTGGCTGGAGGAGGGGGGTCACATGAGCTGAGATGGGGACCCCTAAAGGGGGTGCAGGCTGCAGGAGGGGTTGGTGTTAGACAGTTGATCCCGTGCTGTTGCTGCGCCCCCAGATGGAGCTGGGGGGTCCGTAGATGGGTCGGTCTGGAGTTAGGTCCTGACTGGGGACATGACTGTGGGGTGGTGGCTTTCAGATGGATTTTAGGCCACGAGGCTGGACAAGGCGATCGAGGCGGTTGCCGTGGGGAGAGCAGGCGTGGGGCAGTGTCTGAGCCTGGCCCCTGGCTCTGACACTTGGAGGCCTGGGTGGGAGGAACAAGGTGCCCTGCGCAGCTGCTCGCTCCAGGGTCCTGCACACCATGGGAGGAGTCCGGCCTAAGGTGGGCTCAGCATGTGGGTGACTGTACACCCACGTCCCCAGTGTTCCGTCTTTCCAGTCACCTTACTGCTCGCTACACCCTGGCCCTGCTTGTGCCAGCATGTTGGGCTCCCTTTGGCACAAGGGTGCCCCCATGTCCTGTTTGTGCCACTTGCTCTGCATGCCCCACAGGCAGGTGTGGGGGCAGTCCTGCCGCTGCAGGCTTTGCCCGTGACTGATGGTGCAGGGTCCAGCAGGTGGTCTTTGAGGACCCTCCTGCGCATCAGCCCTGCGGCCTGTGGGGCCTGCAGGGAGCACAGCTCTGCCTCGCTGCCTGTGGGGCCACTGGTTGCACCGCTGAGGTCACGAGGGCTCTCTGCTTTCTGCCAGGCTAGGATGCCTTCTGCATTTGGGGGTGTGTGCCCACAGTGGGCTGGGAGCAGGCTTTGCTTGAGGTGTCACTTGGTTGAGGGGGCCTAGGGGACATGAACCTGATTAGAAGACAGGCTGGTCTTTTCAGTTGCCTTTGAGGTCATATGTGGAATTGTAACTTGGGTCTGTCCCCGCCTCCTGTGTCACTGGGTCTGCACACATGGGAGCAGTCTCACTCAGGCCCCTGCAGAGGTGTACAGTGGAGTCGAGGACCCTGGGCCATTTCGCTGTGGCCACCCCACTGCACCAGTGTCCCAAGAAGTGGCTGACCCCAAGGGGGGCATTTCTGCATGGAGGGCATGTGGCTGGACCTCGTTGGTGGTGCAGATACTGCTGCTGGTGGGGGCCACAGAGCTCTGGGCTTGTCTGTGTGGGTTTGGGGTAGCCGGGCTGGGGTGCGAGGTGTGGACCTGTGTCTGCCGTGGGTGTCTGCCCCGGTGGAGCTCACCTCTGCTGTCTCCCCCTCACTCTCATGCCCACTTGCCTCTGTCTCCCCCGACCCCTGTCTCTCTCTGTGTCTCTGCCCTTCCTCCCTGCTCCGGCCCCTTTGGGTCCCTCTGCTTCCCCTTCTCTTCCTTCTCCATTGCTATCTCTCGCCCCTCCATTCCCTTTGTCGTCTTTCCCTGTGCCCTTGCCTCCTGTTTCCAACCCTCTTTCCTGCTGGTTTCCTGTCTCTCCTGCTGTCTTATCTCTGTGTGTCTCCCCGGCCCTCCCTTGTCTGTCTCTGTGTCGTCCTCCCTTCTGTTGCACCCCCTGGGCCCCTGTCTGCTCTTGTCCTCTCCCTGCTCTGCTCCATTCCTGCTTTGGCCTTAGGCACACGATGCAGCAGGAGACCAACAGGACCATTGCAGCCAGTGCTGGCACCATGAAGCAGATGTCCGAGCTCCTGCACGGCTCCTGCCTGGTATGTTCCCCTGGGAATCTGGGTCCAGCAGTGGGGAGAGGTGGGGAACCTTCTGCCCATAATGGGGAGGGGACATGGCAGGGGTCAAGACATGGGAGATTGACATGTAGGCTGGCCTGCCCTGGCTCCACGGGTCAGAACTCAATGTGCTCAGTCATTCAGTCATAGCTGTTCACTGACCATGCATTGGGGTCTGGGCTGCTGGGAGTCCTGCTGTCCTGGGGCTTACGATGGAGTGGGGACAAGAGTGCCCTGAGTCTTCCTGGCCAGGCTTTTCTGAATGGACACTGACATCTCCCCATCATTAATTTCACCATCCTCACCCCTCCACTGCCTTCACTTCCTCATCCACTGCCCCCTCCACCCAAGCCCATTGTCCACGGCCACCTCCATGTGTGCTTTCCTGTCCTGTGGCCATGGCCACATCACCATGGTCACAGTCATCACCACACTTGCTGCCACAGCCACTGTCCCAGTGCAGCCAGCCCAGGGCCCTCTGTGTCCCCACCGGCACCCTCCTCCCGTATCAGGTCAGCACACCTGAGGATTAGAGGGTGCTCACCACAAAGATTAAATGCCATCGAACCCTAGGGTATTATGGAGCAGGTGCCAGCAGACGGCAGTGCACAGCCTGCCCCCTGTTTTGTGAATAAAGTTTTATTGAAATGTTGTCACGTCTGCTCATTTACATACTGTCCACAGCTACTTTGGGGCCACAGTGTCAGAGTTGACAGTTGCGGCAGATTGGCCTGCAAAGCCTAAAGTGTTGATCCCCGGGCCCTTACAGAACAAGTCTGCTGGCCTCTGGAAAATGCACGTATCGTGCGTGGCTGCAATGGGTACTGTTCACGGTAGAGAGGCCAGAAATGCGATGGCCAGATGCAGTGTGGGGTGAGCTCAGGGACAGTGTGCCAGGTGAGAGGAACCAGACGCAAAAGATCGCACACTGTGGGGTTCTATTTGTGTGAAATGTCCAAATGTCCAGAAATGCGCGTCTGTGGAGACAGAAAGCAGACTAGTGGTTGCGGTATTGGGAGCAGGAGTGGAGAGGGGCTGCACTCGGGAACTGGGGCACTTTTGGGGGCAGTGGAAATGTTTTAAAACTGGGTTGTGGTGAACGTTCACAAGTGGAAATTGTTGAACTGTACACTTAAAATGGATGGATTTTATGGGACCTAAATTATACTTTAATAAAACTGTTATTTTAAAAAGTAGAGCCGGTTTCAAAAGTTAGTTATGCTAAAAGTAAATGTGATAGAGGAGCAGCCAGTTCTCCAGTGACAGGGTGGACAGAGTATTCTAAAGTAGGGGACTACGGGATCACAGGACTCTGTCCGGAGCGGTCTGGACTGTTCTGTGCATGGTGTGAGCATCTCAGCTGTGGCCGGTCTGCAGGAGCTGGGGCTCCTCTGCTTCTGCGCCCGCTGGTGGGACGTGTGGGTCCTCGTGCAGTACTGTGGGGCAGTGTGATGACCAAGTCTCCAGGGCTTTGCTGCATTGACGCCTGTGCTGGCCTTTTCCTTTTTAACTTTGGTCCTTGTTCTTTGACTTATGCAGGCTTCATTCATTCATTCGTTAATCCGTCTAAAAATATGTATTGGGTTCTTCTTACTTGAGGCACTGTGCTAGATCCCAGAGTAGGATGAGCCATGGTTCTGAATGGCATTTCTGTGGGGAAGGAGGCTGGAGCTCCAAGGGTGTCCTGCCCCAGGCATTGTAGCCGGGAAGGAGCCCCAGCTGGATCTGAGCTCTGGTCTTTGTGAGTCCGGAGTCTGTGTTCCCATCTCTGTGTGTGTCATGAAAGCCATGACAGCAGACCTTGAGCTCCTTGTGCCTTCAGAGGGACCACTCTTTTCCTGAGGCAGCCTTCCTTCTCTCCTCCCACCCACCGCCCACCCATCTATGAAACCAGCGGGCATTCTCGAAGCAGCTGCTCTGTGCCAGATGCAGTGAGGGTACAGATAAGATGGGGTTCCTTCCCTCGGGCCCTCACGGTATTGTGGGGGGACACACTGTGAACCAGACAGCGTCCTTGCCCCAGGGCCTGGACAGGGTATGATGGGGGCTCGTGGCGGAAGTTAGAGGTGCTGCATGTGTGTGGCCTTCTGGAGGACATTTCAGTGGGGGGCTTCAAGCCTGGTGGAAGCCAGCCCACAGTGAAGTGGTGGGGGACACGGTGGTGTGTGGGGGTGCAGAGTGAAGGGAAAGGGGCACTGCCAGTCCTAGCAGGGCTGGGTATGAAGGCTCCCTGGTGCGTGGGGATGGAGGAAGGGCGCACATGCCCCTTTGTTGTCCAGAAAGTGTCTGTGATATAGTTTCTTCCTTGGGTGACTCTCAGCAGTGGAATTGAGGAGAGGGTGCGGCTCCCCTCATCCTGCTGGACTTCAGGGCATGGTGGGGATGGTAACAGCTATGTTGCTGCCTCATTGTTGAGTGAGGGCCACCAGGAGTTGGGGCAGCAATTCTCTAGTGCAGCTGCTTCCAGTGACGTGGTGTGGGCGTCCCTGTGCCCTCAGGTTCCTGGGGCTCCGTGTGGCTGCAGGGCGGCATGCCCAGGTTCACACCTGGCTCTGTGTTTTCTGTGCTGGCTGGGCCTGGACCAGAGAAGTCAGTGCAGCCTGTGTGAGGGGCGTGCAAGAACCGCACGCCGCTGTCTCTCTGGGCAAGGAGGGTTCACTGCTGATCTGGGAGAGCTGACAGAGCGGGAGCTGTTTTCCCCAAAAGAACTGAAGCTCTGCCTGGGCTTCTGGCTCTGGGGCTTCTGGGGCACACATGGTGCCAAGTGACAGGAGCCTCGCTGGATAATAACACAGGCTCCACAGATCTGCTAGCAGTTACGTGACCATTAGGCCCACATGCCACCAAGTGCATTGGAGAGCTGGTCCTGACCCCTCCTCCACCACGGGCTTGGGTGGCTGGGCAGAGCAGTCGTGGAAGGTGAGCTCTGAGGGCCCAGGGGACAGGTCCGGGTTGGACATGTGCAGAAGCCCCAGGCAGGGGTGGGCTTGTTCTGTGGCCTGAGAGGCTGTCTGGGTCCCGGCGAAGGGCCCAAGCGCGAAGGGAGCTCGAGAGGTTTCATGGGCGACAGGCAGGAGGGCAGGCTGCCGGTGTGGTGCCCTTAGCACGCCAGAGTGGCCAGTGCTGGCTTCAAGGCCCTGCTTGTCCAGTCCCCCTGACAGCGTTTCTCCAGCACCAGCTCTGTGGCAATCTCTCTGTGGGCACTGGGGTGTGGTGGGGAACATTCCAGCAGGAAGGGATTGGGAGGGGGCAAAGGCAGGATGTGGGGGAGGGGAGGCAATTCTGATAGTGCTGATGAGAGTGGTCCCACCACCCATGTGACCTTAAGCACGCTGCTCAAGAAAGACTTGGGGTGACAGTTCCCTGTGCTGTGAAATAGGGATCATAACACGTCCTACTGACCCGGGGGGCGCTGGGGCTGAGTATGTGTGCCTAGAGTGGCTCCTGGGTCCTGTGGGCTGCTGAAGATGACTTAGAATCTAGTGGTGACGGTGTCCAAGGGGACACTGGCTGTGCCTGTGGAGATAGGGGTGACGCTGCGGGGGAAGTAGATGGTGATGAGCCCACTTCTGAGGGCAGGAGTATGTGACAGTGGTGAAGGAGAGAGTAGGGGTGGTGGGTGCCCTGCCAGGAGGCTGGGAGGGGCACTGGGAACTGAAGCCCCCAGGGCTGGAGGGGCCTGGGAGCAGGGCAGGACCTCAGCCCCTTATAAGCTACACCTTCTATTTGCCCAGGAGCGCCTTCAGCTGGACCGGCTGAAAACGCAGCTAGCGGACGCCCTGCAGCGCTACGGAGTGGTGCAGAAGGTGAGGTGCCAGTGTGGGGGTTGTGGGCCAGGTGGGTGGGCCTGGGTCTCTTGAGCACTCACACCAGCTGGCTTATTCCTGGGTTGGCCTGGTGCAGTCCCATCCCCCAAGGCAGAGAAAGGGCCATCCTTGCAGGCATTCGTAGGTAGCCAGGATCCTACAGCACACCTTAGGTTATGTCTCCTAAAGGATATTTACCTTTGAAGTGCTGCCCCCAGAGGTGACCTCACAGCAGCCTCCTGGGAAATAAGAAGAACAGATCTCATCCTATTTTGACAGGTGAGGAAACTGAGGCCCGGGGGGCTTATATGCATTGGCAGAGGCCATCTAGCAAATCCCTGCAGAGCCCAGCCAAGAACCAGGACAACTCCATCCTCTCAGGGAGTGGAAGGTGTGTTTTGCTGAGTCATTATCTGTTACCTTGTGTTTATCTGACCTTTTCTTCTCTCCTCCCTACCTTTTTTGTTCTTCCTTTCTCCTCTCTCATCCTTTTTCCAACAGAAAATTGCAGAGAAGTCCAGAGCACTGCTTCCCACGGCACAGAGGGGCGGCAAACAGGTGAGTATCAAGTATTTACTGTGGTCAGTGAGTGTTAGGGGACAGCACAGAATCCAGTGCCATTTGTGCTCTGGGGACGGATAGGAAGGACCTAGGGTAGGGACCTTATCTGAGAGGTCTGCCTTGATGAACAGTCTTAAAACATTGGTGTTTTCACCTTTGGGCTCTGGTACAGTGCCTGACACAGGGCAAGCTCCCAGATAGTGACCGTGGACGGTTCCATGTGCGGTGCAGGACTGACTGGTGTCAGACCAGCCCTCCTGCCAAGAGCCTGTAGAACCTACATTAAACACATATGCACACATCGAGACAGACACAGACACAGAGAGACACACAGACACACACAGATCTGACAGGCTGGAGGCATCAGAGAGCCACTAGGGCACCCTTGAGAGGCAAACATTCTAGAATAATCCGTGTTCATCTTCACGTCCTTTCTTGCCTGGTGGGGCATTTGCCAATTTGTGTCTCAGCTTATCATGACTGAACAGAGGTGGTGGCTTGGAGCTTTAATGGTCTTATTGGGCTGGGCAGACAAACATTAGAGTTCAGGGCTGCTCGGAATCGAAATCCTGGGGAAAGGGGATTGCAGCACTAGATGCAGTGTCCCTTGAGGCAGGCACTTGCAGATTCATATGCAGTGTGTGCTTGTCATGAGAGCCCGAGGAATCAAGCCAAAGCAGTTTATAAGAAAAATTAAACAGAAATAGAGGCACTATCAGAGTAATAAAAAGACAAAAGTTGGAGTTCAAATCCCACTCAGAAGAAAGAAGTCTTATAAACATTACAGATTTCAGTAGAGACCCTAAAAGATTAAGGTAAACCAGAAATAGACCAGCCCTAACAAAACCTGAGACACAGCCTTGAATCATGTCTATTTCTGTCTGCTCAAAGACAGTTGAATCTCTTCTGGAAGATGATTTCAGTGTCTAGAATCTGTCTGATTTTTCATACATGATGCCTGAGATTTAAACCAAAGTTGCTAGGCATGACAGATAACAGGATCAAATTACTAAAGCCAAGTAAAGATAGTAAGTAGAAACTGATCTACAGGTGATAAAGATACTGAAATAATTGGACATGTACCTTAAAATAACTACAGGTTGAATATTCCTAATCCAAAAATACAAAATCTAAAACTTTTGGAGCACCAACATGATGCTACAAGGAAATGCTCATTATAGCATTTTGGTTTCCAGAGTTTTAGATTAGGGATGCTTATTTAGTAAGTATAATGCAAATATTCCCAAACCTGAAAAAAATCCAAAATCTGAAACACTCTGGTCCCAAGCATTTCAAATAAGGAATATTCAACCTGTATAATTAATGTGTGAAAGAAAATAGATGAAATGGTGGAGACTTTTACCTAAGAACGTAAAAAAAATAATAAAAATGAGAATTCTAGTACTGAATGATACTGTGACAAAAATTAATTCAATAGATTGGCTAAATATCCAATTAGACAAAACAGAAGAAAGAATTAGTGGACTTCTAGAAGGCCTAAGAGAACACTTAGGCCTCTATGTTCCACTATGTTGGAACATAGAGGAAATATATTATAGAAAATCTGCAGAAGCATATTGTTGGAGTCCTAGATGAACAGGAGGGAGAGAGAACCGACAGAAATAATATCTGAAGAAATAATGGTTGAGAATTTTCCAAAACTGTTCAGATACTTCAGGCCACAGCTCAAGAAGTTCTATAATAAATAGCATAAATTTATCCACTTTTTTAAAAAGCTACCCTTTGCCATTGCATAATATTAAATAAAAATTGAAAACAAAAGATAAAAATAAAATCATAAAAGGAGGTTAAAACCAGAAAAAAAAAATCTGAAAAGCACATTAAAGCTAGAGAACAAAGTATATTATTTTTATAGAGACGTGAGACTGACACCTGACTTTCTCAAAAGAAACAGTGGGGTCCATGAGACAGTGGAAGCACATCTTCAAAGTGCCCAGAGAAAGTAACTACCAGCCTTCAGTTCTGCATCTGGTGAAAATATTCTTCAGAAATAAAGGTGAAATGAAAACATCTTTAGAAAAACAGAAACAGAGAGAATTCATCAACAGGATGGTTGCAAAGTGGAAAAAGGAAAGTGATCCCAGAGGGAAGCATAGTATCGGGGCAAGGAATGGGGAAAATATGGAAAATAGGAAATACGGATATGTCCAAATTCATGTTGACTGTTGAATAATACATTAATTTTGGGTTTTCACATATGGGTCAGATGTACTGTCGACAACTGAAGCACAAAAGACAAACAGGAGGTTAATGGTGTTAAAGCATTGTACTGTCCTTGCATCATCAGAGCAGTGACAAAAATACAGGCTGCAATAAGCCAAGGATGCATGTGGCATTATGCAGGTAGCTATTAAAGCAGGAATTGATGAAATATAAAAAATACATGTAGATGAGTTAGCAAAGCCAAAAGAGTTGGTTCTTTAGAAGGATTAATAAAATTGTTAAACTCCTACAAGATTAATCAAGATGTAGAAAGAAAATACAAATTATCAGTTTCAGGAATGAAAACAGGCATATCATTACAGATCTGACAATTTTTTTAAAAGTAATATAAAGATATTATGAACAGTTTTATGCCAACAAATTTGACAGCTCAGATGAGATGTAATTTTTTTTAGAAAACTATAACTTACCAAGATGTGCAGAGAATCTGGAAAGTTCAATATTTATTAAAGAAATCAATCCATAATTAATAAATATCCCACAAAGAAAACTCCAGACCTGGGTGGATGTACTGGTGAATTCTTCCAAGTATTTGGAGGAGTAAATAACATGAATTTATAGAAACTATTACAGAGAATATAAAAAGAGGAAAAACAGCCTGCTGTGTTTTATGCCAGTCATACCTTGATTCCACATTATGGTGAAGATATCACAAGAAGGAAAGTAACATATCAGTCTCTCTCGTGGATGTAGAAGCAAAAATCCTAACCAAAATGCTAATAAATTAAATCTAGAAATATATAAAAAGGAAGTCATATCATCATAGCGTAGGGCTTAGTCTAGGGATGCAAAGTTAGTTTGCATTCAGAAACAATCAATATAATTCGCCACTTTAATAAGTGATAAAAGCTATACAGTCATCTCAATAGATACAGAAAAGCATTTGATGAGATTCAGCACTAGCTTAAGGAAGCTAAAGAACTCTTGGCAAGATAGGTATAGATGGGAATATCTTTAATCTTTTAAAGGGTATCTTTAAAAACCTTACTGTTAACGTCTCACTTACTGGGAAGATATTAAAATCTTTTCTCCTGAGATTGAGGACAAAACACAGATGTCTAGTACTATTGCTTCTATTCCCATTGTATTGGGAGTGTTATCCAATGCAATAAAGCATGCAGAAAAATAAAGGTATAAGGATTGGGAAGAGAAAACAAACTACTCACAGAGAGCATGATTGTGTACGTGGGAAATAATCTGTGATGTGCTGTTAGAATTAATAAGTGCGTTTGACAAGACTACTGGAACCAGGTTAGTATACAAGAAGACATTGTGTATTCTGGCATAAGGCAATTTGGAAATGAAATTTTAAAAGTGATACCATTTATAATGGCATCAAAACTAGAAAGAAATCTATGAACAGCTGTTTAAGACTGCTACACTGAAAACTAACAAAGCATTACTGAGAGAAATTACAAAAGATCTAAATGATGGAGAGTCTGCCATGTTTATAGAGATGTCAGTTCTCACCAAGTGAATCTAGAGATTCAATACAATCCCAACAGGTTTTAAGCATGTGTGTGTGTTTAAATTGTCAAGCTGATTCTAAAATGTATGTATATGGAAATATGAGTAAGACTCAAAATAGTGAAGACAATTTTGAAGAAAAACCAAAGTGAAAAGTTTATACTGCCAGGTATCAGAACATGTTAATTAATCACAGAAATGGAAACAGTGGTGTTTGTGTGAGGCTAGACAGACCGACAGCCACAGGACACAATGGATTTGGGATGTAGACCCACACACACACGATGGCCGGGTTTGTGGTCAGGTGGACTGCCCTGCAGTGAGAAGTAGATGATTTATTCAGGTCTTGGTGCTGCATCACTTGAACTTTTGAACTGAAAACAAGTGGGTCCTTTACAAACTTTAACTCACTCTATGCACAAAAAAACTTTTCCAGTTGCATCATAGACCTACATGCAAAAGAAAGACAGCACTTCTAGAAGACATCAGGGAAGGCTACCTTCACATCTTTATGTGGGCAGACATTTCTCCCACAGAGGCAAAAGTGCTAACTATAAAGAAACAGATTGATAAACTTAGGTTTGTTAAAAATTAATACACCATTAAGAGAGTGAAAAAGCAACCTGCAGGATGAGAGAGGGTATTTGCATGACATGTGTCTGCAAAGGTCTTACATCCATTAAATAGTAAAGATCTGTTATAAGTCAGTAAGAAAAATGCAGACAACTCTGAAAACAAAAAAGAGTAAAAGCCTTGGACACATCACAAAAGAGGATTTCCAGTTGGCTAATAAGAATATGAACATGCATTCAACATTAGTTGTCAGGAGCAGGGAAAGTAAACCCATGATGCCGTGTCACTACATACCACCTCACACTCACCCACAGTACTAGAAGCAACGTGAATAACACCTGAAAATGTAGAGTGTTGGTGGGAATGTGGGCAGCTGGAACTCTCGTGTACTACTAATGGGAGTGTAAAATTGCACCACCACTTTGGAACACTGTTTGAGAATATCTGCTTTGTAAAATCCAATGTGTTCTTACTTTTCATTTTGTAGATCTGCCCAATGGAGACGTGTATGTAGTTAGCCCTCCATATCCATGGGTTCTGTATCTGTGGATTCAACCAACTACAGATTGAAAGTATTAGAAAAAAAATTATGGCTGTACTGACCATGTACAGACTTTTGGGATCATCATCCCCTGATCAAGGCGGTATATCAGCTGTTCACTACACAGCATTTGTGCTGTGTTGGGTGTAATAAGTCATCTAGAGATGATTTA